TCCAGATCTGACTCTGCTTAGTCTCATCAATATTTCTTTTTTTCCCCCTTTCTCTCTTGACCTTTTGATGTTTTTCTTGGTTTTCACATTTTTTTTCCTTTCCCATTTCCAGCTCTCTCTTAAGAATTCACTTTTATTCGCTGTGCTCACTTCTTCTTAAATTTTAGTTTCTTTGTTTCCTCAATTCTACCCAGTCCATTTTAATTCTCAGCACTGGTTTAAACCTCTCATTTATAAGACAGTAGTTTGATAGGGAAAATGAATAAGGTAAATTCTATCTATAGTTCAGGCTGATACTTGATGGGCTTCATAAAGTAGCATGGAATGTAGAACTAGGTAAAAGATAAAGGAATCCCTGCAGATTTTATTCCATTAGTCATAGCCAACTATATGTATAACTGTAAAACTCTAAACAATTCTTATCGATAAATAGAAGGAATTCTGATATCAGTCTGGGGGTACTATGTCACTGGAGGCCTGCTCCAATGTGTCTTGATCATTTAATCACAATATACATTTCACATTTTCACAAGCATATTTTCAAATGTTCTCTATCAACTGATTTGCTATTGAACATATATGCCACAGAATTAAAGGATGGCTTAGATAAAGCAATGGGGAGTAAACAAGTTATTGCAAAATACAAACAAACCTTATTGGACAGACCTATGCTGAATCAGATCAAGATCTAGTTTAATGAAAAGATGGACTAGGGGTGACATGACACCAGTGTTCCAATATCTCAGGGGCTGCCACAAAGAAGAGGGAGTCAAGCAATTTTCCAAAGCACCTGAGGGCAGGACAAGAAGCAACGGATGGAAACTAATCAAGGAGAGAAGCAACCTAGAACTAAGGAGAAACTTCCTGACAGCTAGAACAATTAACCAGTGGAACAACCTGCCTCCAGAAGCAGTAAATGCTCCAACATTGGAAGTTCTTAAGAAGAGACAGGACAGCCATTTGTCTGAAATGGTATAGGGCAGGGGTGTCAAATTCGCAGCATCACGGGATGTGTTGCGATGTAGTACGACTTTTTTGCCATTGCTGGCAATTGGGTGGGGTATGGTTTCGCCACGACGCATCCAGTCCATGGGCCAGCAGTTGGACACCCCTGGTATAGGGTTTCCTGCCTCCTCCTCCTCGTATTATTTTTATTATTATGGATCATTACACAGTCAGCCAGATGTTCAGACTGGATTTGGCATTTTGTCTACCTATCGAGTCCTTACCCAGGACCTGGGATAGGCAGATGTGGATGTTTGATGGTATTACAGGTATCGTCGCAGGATGGAAGCAGTTCCTAATAAGGCCGCCTTTTGCAATTGACTAATAGCGAATTTGTCAATGCCAATGTTGTTCAAGTGGTGCTCCAGTTGTTTTGGGATTGCACCCAAGGCACCTATGACTATTGGTACTACCCTTGCTTGCTTTTGCCACAGTCTTTCTATTTCTATTTGTAGGTCTTTGTATTTTGTTATCTTCTCCAGTTCTTTCTCGTCTATTCTGCTGTCTCCAGGCACTGCCACGTCCACTATCCAGACTTTTTTGTCTTTCTTATCGACAATTGTTAAGTCTGGGGTGTTATGTTGCAGGTGCTTGTCTGTTTGAATTCTGAAGTCCCAAAGCAGTTTAATTTTATCATTTTCTATGACTTTCTCTATTTTATGATCCCACCAGTTTTTGCTTACAGGCAAATGATATTTTTTTCAGATCTTCCAATGCACCATTGTTGCTACTTTGTTGTTTATTATTATTATTATTATTATTATTATTATTACTACTACTACTACTACTACTATCATCATCATCATCATCATCATCACCATCATCAAGGAGGTTGGACTACAAGACCTCCAAGGTCCCTTCCAGCTCTGTTATTCTGTTATTTTGTTAAGTCTTTATCCATTATTATTATTTTTGCAGTTTGTACAAGCCCCAAAACAGAACACAAGTGCTACTAAACCCTCCTATTTCTTCCCCTGCTACAGGGATTAAAATATGTGCAATGTGAGAAATAATTCACAGGTATTATACTGCTATAGCTAGACCGGGGGTGTCAAACTCAATTTCATTGAGGGCTGCATTAGCATTGTGGTTGCCTTCAGGGGGCCGTGTGGGTGTGGCCAGGGTGGGTGCAGCCTACTGGGTGGGCGTGGATGGAGTGGGTGCGGCCTACTGGGTGGGTGTGGCCAGCTCTACATCCTTCGCGTCAAGGGTGCCTGTGGGGGCCTGGGCAGGAGTAGGATAGATCTTAGGGTCTCTGGCAGAAGGGGGTGGGACCAGGGCAAGTGCCAAGGCATGGTCCACTGGAGGAGCCTCACTGTTCCTCTCAGGCCATGCGGGGGGGGGGGCCTTATGGAACTAAGACTGAATGCGTTTCAGCATAGATGGCCACCACAAAATTGTACATTGCTCCCGGCTGGCCTGGGCCAGGGCTAAGGCAATGGGGGCCGTTCCCTCACTGTTTCCAGGATGGCTTCACGGGCCACATGAAACCACTTTGCGGGCCGCATCCGGCCCCCGGGCCTTGTGTTTGACATGTCTGATATAGACATTGAGAGCTTTATTCTTCACGAGCTTCCTTGATCTCTTTTAAAACAATTTAGGTGAACTGGAGATTCACCACCAACCAAACCTTGCAACTTCTCATAAAGAACAACAGCTTTTCTTTTTTAAAAAAATAAAATAAAATCTCTACCTATTTACCAATTCGGATGCTTTTTGAGAAATACCTGAAATATTTCTGAGGAGATGCAATGTTCCCCCCAAACGGCTTAAAAATAATCCTTGCATGCATGTAATGTATAACTGAAACAAAACACTTGCTTTCCAGTTCACGAGACACAGTACAATCTTATACATTTAGATAAATATGAATAAGGCTGTATAAAACAAAAGGCTTGTGGCAAATCAGTTAGAGAGTCTTGGGCAATCAATTTGCCTTATTTTACAGGCTCCTGAAGTTCAGCTTGAGGGTAAATTTAACAGTGTGTCATCCTGGCAATATCTCACTTCAAAACTTGAAGGTTGAGACAAATGTTGTAATGAAGTATAAATCATAGCCCAAGAAGACATTTAAATGCATTTTATGAGTGGATAACAAACTATGCACTTCGTGGTTTTGTTTTATTTGGGTTGTTTTTTTTTAAAAAAAAAATTCATACCAAAATATAACACAGCTGCTTCTAGCCCATTAGAACAGTTTTTTTAAGGCTGGCTGAGGGTGAATTAGAAAAGTAGCTTGGACAATTTCACCACCACTGCGTGGGGAGTTTTTGAACATCTGGGCAAAGACAAACAATTTAAAACAACCTAGAACTGAAATGGTGCCTGTGAAGTCTGCAAGCTGCATAGATGGTGTGCAAAGACACAGGGTGGTCCAGATCCTAAAGCTGGGTATTCATGCAGGGTGCTCTATGGATGTACAGGCAGTCCTCGATTTACAACAGCTCATTTAGTGACCGTTCAAAGTTACAACGGCACTGAAAAAAGTGACTTCTGACTGTTTTTCACACTCCTGGGGAGGAAAGCTATGGCAAATCTAGACAGCATCCTAAAAAGCAGAGACATCACCCTGCCAACAAAAGTGTGTATAGTCCAGGCCATGGTTTTCCCAGTTGCAATGTATGGCTGTGAAAGTTGGACCATAAGAAAGGCTGAGCGCCAAAGAATTGAGGCCTTTGAACTATGGTGCTGGAGAAGACTCCTGCGAGTCCCTTGGACTGCAAGGCGTTCAAACCGGTCAGTCCTAGAAGAGATCAACCCCGACTGCTCTTTAGAAGGCCAGATCCTGAAGTTGAAACTCAAATACTTTGGCCACCTAATGAGAAGGAAGGACTCCCTGGAGAAGAGCCTAATGCTGAGAAAGACTGAGGGCAATAGAAGAAGGGGACGACAGAGAATGAGGTGGCTGGATGGAGTCACTGAAGCAGTAGGCGTGAACTTCAATGGACTCCAGAAGATGGTAGAAGACAGGAAGGCCTGGAGGAACGTTGTCCATGGGGTTGTGATGGGTCGGACACGACTTTGCAACTAACAACAACAATAAGCATCCCCATGGGCACATGATCAAAATTCGAATGCTTGGCAACTGACTCATATTTATGACAGGGTCATGTGAAGGTTTATGACCTGACAAGCAAAGTCAATGGGGGAAGATCCACTTAATAGCTGCGTTACTAAACAACTTCAGTGGTTCACTTCATGGTAGCAAGAAAGGTTAAAATAAAATGGAGCAAAAATCACTTAGCAACTGTCTCGCTTAGCAACAGAAATATTGGGCTCAATTGTGGCCGTAAGTTGAGGACTGCCTGTAACTCACAATGTGTAATGGCTAGGCCTATTTTAAAAAAAAAGAAGAAGAAGCGACCTGTTTAGGATCTTCTTGCTCCCTTAAACTAGATCAGTGTCGATCAGTGATGGCGAACCTTTTAGAGACCGAGTGCCCAAACTGCAACCCCAAACCCACTTATGTATCGTCAGGTGCCAGGTGAGCGTGGCCCATTGGGTGGGTGTGGCCCATTGGGTGGGCGTGGCTGCCGTGGTAACGGCAGACTGGGTGGGACCAAAAAGTTCAATGAATCAATTCCAACTTTGCGAGATCTTTTTGTTTTCCCATGAGAAGTTGAAATTGATTGATTGATTGAACAAGTTGAAATTGATTGATTGACTGAACTTTTTTTTTTTTTTACACACGGCGGCAGAGGCCTAAAGCGAAAAGGTTTTATAAAACCCAGCTGAAGGCCTAGGACTGGGGCAACGGCATGCGTGCCCACAGAGAGGACTCTGCGTGCCACCTATGGCACACATGCCATAGGTTCACCACCACGGGTATAGATTGTCCATCTATAGCTACAAGAGATATAGCGTGGGGAAAGCAGAAGAGATTCCAAAGAACCTGGATTTAATTAAAATATCTATGCATTAAGCTGAGCTAGTGTCGTGTAATTCTCATAATACTTTCTCCACAGTTTCTTTTGGGACCCTTTGCTTGAACTCACCTTGGTAATTCAAGCCACATCACCCAGGAAGGAGACCACTCGGTCTGACTTGTGGAGCTCAAATTGGCATTGCTCAATAAGTCCCCGTTTTCTCCTTCTGTGGTTTCACACGTTTTCAGTTCTAGTGCTTTGAACACAACGGATGAGGAGGCATTTTTCAAATGGGCTACGGCCTCTCCACGGCTGACACCTGTCAGATCAATTCCATTCACGCTGAGCAGAATATCTCCTAGTGGACACGGAAAACAAAATAGTGGAAACGTTTTTATAATAATAATAATAATAATAATAATAATAAATACAAAGACCTACAAATAGAAATAGAAAGACTGTGGCAAAAGCAAACAAGGGTAGTACCAATAGTCATAGGCTCCTTGGGTGCAATCCCAAAACAACTGGAGCACCACTTCAACACCATTGGCATTGACAAATTAATCAATTGCAAAAGGTGGCCTTACTAGGAACTGCTTCCATCCTGCGACGATATCTGTAATACCATAAAACATCCACATCTGCCTATCCCAGGTCCTGGGTAAGGACTCGATAGGTAGACAAAATGCCAAATCCAGTCTGAACATCTGGCTGACTGTGCGATGATGGATATAATAATAATAATAATAATAATAATAATAATAATAATAATAATAATAATAATAATAATAGTAGTAAAGTTGGAAGGGACCTTGGAGGTCATCTAGTCCAACTTCCTGCTCAGGCAGGAAATCCTACACCATTTCGGACAAATGGCTGTCCAGTCTCTTCTTAAAAACTTCCAGTGTTGGAGCATTTACTGCTTCTGGAGGCAGGTTGTTCCACTGGTTAATTGTTCTCACTGTCAGGAAGTTTCTCCTTAGTTCTAGGTTGCTTCTCTCCTTGATTAGTTTCCACCCGTTGCTTCTTGTCCTGCCTTCAGGCGCTTTGGAGAATAGCTTGGCTCCCTCTTCTTTATGGCAGCCCCTGAGATATTGGAATACTGCTATCATGTCCCCCCTCGTCCTTCTCTTCATTAAACTAGACATTCAAAGCTATGCTCACTACTCTGAGAGGGGCCAACTCAGGCTGTTTATGCATTGGATATGACCACTGATCTCACATACATTTTTAATGGCAAGCCTGGACCCGCATATTCATACTATATTTTTATTCAGGTTTTGTACATACTCTGCCCTGAAGTCCATTTGTAGAACAAAATCATCATCATACAGCTTAAGATCTTTTAGTTATACTATCAGAGCTATTGCAAATGTGCATAAGATCTACATTTAGTTTCCAGATCCGAAAGGTCAAGAAAATTAGTTTTTTGGACATTTTTTAAACTCTGGGCTTTAGTCAACCATCTACAAAATGAAAACCAATTGTTTTGGGCAAAAAGAGATGTGTGTACAGTCTGGAATGAATGAATGACAATACCTCTGTGGCCTTTGACTATTGCAACAGAATATGCGTAAGTGTGAGTATTCTGTATCTGTATCGTAAACAAGTTAAAATTAAGTATTTGTGAACTTTGCTGGTTTGTGTCTACGGAGATTCTCAGCCATCGAGGTCATAGTTATCCCAAAGGTGCTTTTTCATGAGGCAATTGGACTTTCTTGTTTTTCTTTGAAGACATTTCCCTTTTCATCCAAGAAGCTTCTTCAGCTCTGACTGGAGCTGTCATATTGCTCCCCCTCTGTTGAGAGAGGGCTGTTCAGTTTTGATTTTGACATCATGTATCTCCAGTCTATAACACAGTCCTTTCAACAGTTCCAAGAAGGCTCCACACCCATTTGCACCACTCAGGTGACCCTGAAGACACAAATATACCTCCAAGTGGCCTCAATGACTCTTTAAAAGAATGCAAATGACCAGCTGTCTGCAAGGAGTATAAATCCTTCCATTCCCCACCATCCAGTCAGAGCTGAAGAAGCTTCTTGGATGAGAAGCGAAAAACAAAAAAGTCCAGTTGCCTCGTGAAAAAGCACTTTTGGGATTTGATAGTTGGTCTGTTTTGGTGCTTTTAAAAATGTTACTATAATTGTTAGGATCATCATCATGACTAATTCTAGATTGCTAGGTTCTTGGAAACGGCTAACCCAGAAATGCCAACTAATCTGCAAATGAGCATTATGTATTTGAAAAATTCAAATATGTAAAGCTAATTTGTCTAGTATGTTCACTAAACTCCATGTGCTCTCATTAAAATAATGAAGAACTCTATGGTTGGCATCCTATAGCCATTAAACAAGTAGTTGACTATTATTTATTTATTTATCATATTTGCGTATCCTTATATAGGGTTAGGGTCCTTATATATTTAAAGGGTCTAATGCTGACTAGACAATACTATTCTGAGTGACATATGCTAGATCAGTGATTCTCAACCTTTTTAATGCCACAACCCCCAACCGGTCGTAAGTCGAGGACTACTCAACTGGTGCAGCACCATTTGCAGAATGGGACTTTTGGCAGGCTCAGCAGGGCAGAGACAGCCTGGACAATTCCTATTGGCTTTTGAAAGCCAATAGAATTAGACTCTATTCAAGAGAGTCTATTCCAGGGGTAGGCAACCCAAAACACTCAAAGAGCCACTTGGACCCGTTTCCCACCAAAAACAAAACACTGGGAGCCGCAAAACCCTTTTGATATCTAAAATGAAGATAACACTGCATATATCCTTTTTTATCTTTATTATAGGGGTGTGTGTGTGTGTGTGTGTGAGAGAGAGAGAGAGAGAGTGTGTGTTTGTGTATGTGTGTGTATACACACACACACACACACACACACATTAAAAATAAAAGTAAAAATATGACTCTTGGGAATATCCATACTATTAAAACAATGATCACCGAGATAATGCTTTAAGAGAATAAAATTACATACACACAGAGGTAAAAAAAGGATATATGCAGTGTTATCTTCATTTTAGATGTCTAAAGGGTCTCTCTCTCTCTCTGTCTCTCTCCCTCCCTCCCTCTCTGCCCTTGGTCTGCCACTCCTCTTCCCCCATTCTCTTTCTTTCTCTCTCTTTCCTCTCTCTCTCCCCCTCCCTCCCTCCCTCTCTCTCTTTCTCTCTCTCTCTTTCTCCCCCCCATCTGCTGCTCACCTGGTAAGCTTCAAGTTGTTCTCCAACAATCTCAGGGCTAGGCAACCTCGTCTCTTTTATGACTCATGGACTTCAACTCCCAGAATTCCTGAGTCAGCCTAGCTGGGCTAGCTAGCTCTCTCCTGCCCTTCCTGCTTCCTGCTGAGACGCAGCAAAGGGAGGAGCTCCGCCCGATAAGCTTTTCAGCTCCTCGGAGAACAATGTGAGTGCACTCTCTTTTACACATACACACACACACACACACACACACACACACACACACACACAAAACACACACACACACACACACACACACACACACACACACACACACACAGAAGCAGGGAAGCGCAATTGCCTGTCTCTGTCTCTCTCTGCAAAGGCAGAGGAGGCTGGGAGCCACAGGGGAAGGCTCAAAGAGCCGCATGCGGCTCCGGAGCCGCAGGTTGCCGACCTGTGGTCTATTCTATTGGCTTTCAAAAGCCAATAGAATAAAAGGGAGTAGCACAGCTAAGGAAAAGGGGGAAAAAAATGGCGGACTGCGTTGTTTGGCGACCCCTGTGAAATGGTCGTTCAACCCCAAATGGGGTCCCGACCCACAGGTTGAGAACCATTGTGCTAGATTGTATGAGCTAACTGATATATAATCAGGCATCTTGCATATGTTTAACATGAAAGAGAACAAAATCTTTTAGTAGTGGGTATTCATAGTTTGAATTTAATCATAATTAATTATGGTTTAAGGATTTTAGTGCACACAAGCCTGCATTTAAAAATTGATATGCAGATAGGTGAGGGAATGACATAACCTGCATGTTAAAGTCCCCCCCCCTTTGTAAACATGGCTAATTCATCGCATGCTATCACAAGAATGATAGCTAACATTTGTGAGCACTGAAAACAAGTTTAAATGTGGGGTAGAACCCTGAAAAAAAAAGTACCAGGTTTTTACAGATACTTGTGGCATCTGGAACAAATTATAAGGTAATTTCATCTCTGTTCTCAATTTATCTCCAGCCATTTTAGATGGTGACTCCCACTTGGGAATAGGTCATGCTGGAACTGGATAACATTCGTAGACATCCATCGGTGTAAAAAATTAAGCTAAAAGCTGACAGGAAGATCCAGAGTTTATTTTTAATAATAGCAGAACGTATGCGCATTCAAAATTAAATTGAATGCGCATACGTTCTGCTATTAACGGATCTGCCTATCGGTTTAGAAGCATAAAAACACAGCTTTGGTATATTTTTTTTATAGATGCTATATGAGGTAAGATCAGACTGAGAGATAGAGAATGACCACTTAGTACCCAATTAGTTTTACAGCAGAACGGAGAGTTGAAGGGGGTCTCCACGGATCTAATCCAAAACTCCCATCATTGTACACACATTGACTCATTTCTTCCCCAGCTTTTGACTTCCCCTTTTTCATGGGAAAAATCTGGAGCTTTAGGGGAAATTAAAATCCTCACTGAAAATAATGCCATGAAGTTATGTCAGAAGTGGATGTGAGCTAGTGGAGATTGGTGTTTCAGGAAACTTATTTCTAATAAATCAGGAAGTGTCTCCCATTTTCCTTGGGCCACATCTGGCTATTATCTTTTGTGTGTGTGTGTGTGTGTGTGTGTGTGTGTGTGTCAAATAAGATCTTGTTTCCTCGTGCCAGTAAGTGTAGGAGGTGGGTTGTGATGCTGATTCTGCAGTTTTTCAAGCAATCAACACATTCCCTTATTAGTTCAGTCCCATCTGAAAAGCAGGATTCTCCCAAGCCACAACTTACACGCTATGAGATAAATCTGTGAATAGTTTGTTTTCTCAGTCCAGATGCTGAATTGGTTCTTTAAAATTGCCCACTTGGTACCATAGGAGGAAATTTAGAGCGGTTGCTGTTTAAAAATGTATGCCTTTTATGAAGAGTTAGCAAATTGTATTATATTTTGAAGTCTGGTGTCTCCTCCCCCCCCTTTCAGCTAGAGCAGTGGTTCTCAACCTGTGGGTCGGGACCCCATTTGGGGTCGAACGACCATTTCACGGGGATCGCCAAACAACGCAGTCCGCCATTTCTCCCCCCCCTTTTCCTTAGCTGTGTTACTCCCTTTTATTCTATTGGCTTTTGAAAGCCAATAGAATAGACTCTCTTGAATAGAGTCTAATTCTATTGGCTTTCAAAAGCCAATAGGAATTGTCCAGGCTGTCTCTGCCTTGCTGAGCCTGCCAAAAGTCCCATTCTGCAAACGGTGCTGCACCAGTTGAGTAGTCCTCGACTTACGACCGGTTGGGGGTCGCGGCATTAAAAAGGTTGAGAACCACTGAGCTAGAGCATTAAAAAGCCATATAGCTGTGCCAATGGTCTGAAGATCGCAGCTCTATGCCCTATTGTTATTTCATCGGTACCATTTCAAAATATTTTTTATTTATTTACTGTGGGCTTCTTTGGGTTGTAACAAGTTGAATAGTTTTTTCTTCAACTAAATGACTTTTTTTAAAAACTAAACCAGGGCTGTCCAGCCTTAGCAGCCTTCAAGACTTGTGGACTTCAGCATCCAAGGCTGGCTGAGGAATTCTGGGAGCTGAAGTCCACAAGTCTTAAAGTTGCCAAGGTTGGACACCTTTGAACTAAACTAAGCAGAAGGGTAGAAGAATGCATGGCTGTATTTAGCTCCCCTTAAATGTAGAAGTTCCCCCCCCCAAAAAAAATCATAATTATTTGTTCTTATTTGTACCTTTATAGGTTTACAGCCACCCAGGGTCATAACAAATTAGGAAGGCCTAGCAATCCAATAAATAAATACACATCTATCATTTTCCAAAACTTAAGTCTTAAAATGATGGGAAATATAGCAGAAGGGAAACCTCAGACTATTTTCCCGGATAATCTATGAAAATATATATTCAGCCACAAGCTTGTAATGACTTTGTTTAGTGTATATTGGACTTTACTGATTTGATATGTAGAACTGTATTGTAAATGAGCTAGAGAACACTGCAATTAGGTTAGCGTTGTTCTCGTTATTCCAATTTATTTTCCCCTGCTTTCTCTCACCTGTATCAACAGTCAGCAGAAATATCAAATGATGTGTTGAAAAGCAGTTGAAGTAGAGTATATGATAATATCTTAGAGCAATGGATTGATGAGTTTATTCTCAAGAAATCCTAATCAGAAAGATGATATCCAGCTTCCTAGTTATTGTCATTCATCTATCCCAAATCTTAATGAGCATTTATTACAGCTTATATTTAAAGTCCTCCCCTTGATATATTTCATGGATAAATATCATAATATCCCAGGCCCTGGTGGCTTTGTCCATATAAATCAGGGAAGGTTGAGCCAATGGATTATTTCTTCTGCCTGCTAAATTTTATTCTAACTCTCATGAAAGGCTAATCCAGCCTTTATTTTTTTAAAAAAAATAATAAAATCCCAAGGCATCAATTTTGCATTCAGTATTAGTTAGCAAAGAATCCTAAAGTTATATATTTTGTTGGAAAAGGGTAAGGCAAGATTTTTAAAGTACAGGTCGTTCTTGACTAACGACCACAATGGAGCCCGACATTTCTGTTGCTAAACGATACATTTGTTAAGTGAGTTTTTCCCCCATTTTACAACTTTTCTTGCCACAGTTGTTAAATGAATAATTGTAACTGTTAAGTTAGTAACATGGTTGTTAAGTGAATCTGGCTACCCCCTTGTCAGAAAGTCACATGAGCCCGGGATACCGCAACCGTCATAAATATGAGTCAGTTGCCAAGCATTTTAATTTTCCCCATATGACCCTGGAGATGCTGCACTGTTTGTAAGTGTGAAAAATGGTCATAAGTCACTTTTTTCGGTGCTCTTGTAACTTAACAGTCACTAAATCAGTGGTTCTCAACCTTTTTAATGCTGCGACCCCAATCGGTCGTAAGTCGAGGACTACTCAACTGGTGCAGCACCGTTTGCAGAATGGGACTTTTGGCGGGCTCAGCAGGGCAGAGACAGCCTGGACAATTCCTATTGGCTTTTGAAAGCCAATAGAATTAGACTCTATTCAAGAGAGTCTATTCTATTGGCTTTCAAAAGCCAATAGAATAAAAGGGAGTAGCACAGCTAAGGAAAAGGGGGAAAAAATGGCGGACAGCCTTGTTTGGCGACCCCTGTGAAATGGTCATTCGACCCCAAATGGGATCCCGACCCACAGGTTGAGAACCACTGCACTAAATGAATAGTTTTAAGTCGAAGATTACCTGTAATCTTTATCAGTATCTTTGTTTTGCTTAAGTATCCTGCTTGACTATTATATTTTATCTGTTCATCTGTGTTTTATACTGATTGTTACTTTAGGATGCCCTACTCCAGGGGTAGGCAAACTTGGCTCTTTTATGACTTGTGGACTTCAACTCCCAGAATTCCTGAGCCAGCCATGCTGAGGGGAAAGGGAGAGGTTTCCAAGCTGAGGCTCAGGTATTCTGGGAGGTTTGAAGTCCACGAGTCATAAAAGAGCCAAGGTTGCCTACCCCTGGTTCAGGGTCTCCTGTTCGAGCAGGGGGCTGAAAAAAACCCCAAGGTCCCTTGCAACCCTGTTATTTTAATATTCTGTATTCCAGTGATCCAATGTGGTCTAATTTAACCTCCCCAAGATTCAACAGTAATGACAGCAGAAGACCACATAAAAGCTGTTCCAGCTGAATACATTTTAAAAAGTGCATAAAGAAGGCTGAAACACGAAATTTCTTTGAGCTGAGCTAGATGGATTCCCATCTCAAAATACACTCTAATGCTATCACCTGTTTTTATCCGTCCATCTCTGCTGATGACTCCACCCAGTTCCACACTTAAGACATAAATAGGTAGATTCCATTCCCTGTGCGAAGGTGAACAACCTCCTGACACCGTCATTCCAAGGGACTCTGCATTATCTTTTCGGACAATCACCACTTTTTCATGACAGGTAACAGCATGAAGGACACTCTGCAAAGGACAAAAAAGCCAACATAAATACAGTCGCTGGGCCAAGGACTTCTCTCAGATTAATTAGGGCCGGTTTATCACTCATTCATTCGTTGTTCCATTGTACACCTTCTTAACTGACTTTCCTTCACTGTTCCTGCTGTATAGTTGTGGAAAAGATGATGACAAGAGTTTCACAACACATAATACAGAAACAGAAATTATGAAACGGAACTTTGGAACCCTATACCAAAAAATACTCTCTCACACACTGGGCCATAGAACATGTTGATTAATCCAGTGTGATTTTTTTTATTATTAAAGATGATTTGCAGTAGAATAATGGCTAAGACTAAGGCTGACAAATACGATGGCTTGACATAATTGCTTCACAGCCATTTAGTAATGCACATGTGAAGAGCATATGAAGAATATTTATTTCGAATGAGTAGCACATGGGAAGATCTCTCTCTCTCTCACTCTTTCTCTGTCTGTCTCTGTCTCTCTCTTTCTCTCTGTCTCTGTTTTACTGTCTGTCTCTCTTTCTCTGTCTCTGTCTCTTTCTGTGTCTCTCTCGCTCTCTCGCTCTCTCTGTGTGCGTATGTGTACGCATGTGTGTGTATTGATAAAATCAACAGACCCCTTCAGAAAGTTTCATGAAGCTAGGATCTCTGTAACTGCCAAAATATATTGGATATTTTTCTAAAGATTCCAAATACCATTTTGCAGAGGTAAAATTACAAAAAAATTCTAGAGTTTCAGAAATTTAGCTTTTAGCAGTGAAAAGCCTGAATCCTCTTGGCTTCTATTGTTCTTGTTAGTTGCGAAGTCGTGTCCGACCCATCGCGACCCCATGGACAACATTCTTCCAGGCCTTCCTGTCCTCTACCATCTTCTGGAGTCCATTTAAGCTCAGTGACTCCATTCAGCCACCTCATTCTCTGTTGTCCCCTTCTTCTATTGCCCTCCATCTTTCCCAGCATTAGGCCCTTCTCCAGGGAGTCCTTCCTTCTCATTAGGTGGCCAAAGTACTTGAGTTTCAACTTCAGGATCTGGCCTTCTAAAGAGCAGTCAGGGTTGATCTCCTCTAGGACTGACTGGCTTGATCGCCTTGCAGTCCAGAGGACTCACAGGAGTCTTCTCCAGCACCATAGTTCAAAGGCCTCCATTCTTTGGTGCTCAGCCTTTCTTATGGTCCAACTTTCACAGCCATACATTGCAACTGGGAAAACCATGGCCCTGACTATAGGTATTTTTGTTGGCAGGATGCTTCTATAACCCAAATCCTTGTGGAACAGGAGTGTCTGCAAGATGTGATCAAAAATGTCAAGATGGTGATTGCATCGGGGCAATCACAGGCATACCCGTTCTGTGCAAATTACACATAAAACCCCTCCAGAGCTTTGATTACATTATTGTGACTGACCATCCTGGCATTTTTCACCACACCCTGCAGATACTCCTTGTTGGGGAAGCATTCTGTGTCCTTTTTATAAGTCAGGAAACCATCTCTTCACCTCCTTAGCCATAAAATAACCCAGCTGACTTCATTTCTATTTTTGTGATTTTTCTCGCTGGCAAGTGTGGCTGATTTGAAAGGAAATGTCTTTTTTTGCAAGTCAGCGAACTTTCGACTTTGAACCTAAGCTTGCAAATTCTAATTTCCTCTGTCTCACTAAAATAGGCTGTTCTTAAAAACTCTTCCACAAAAAAGATGAGGTTGATCTCTTCAACACTGAATCGCTGTCACCAACATCGTTTGTTAGGAGAAGGAAGATATAAGTGGTTTCTCCTTAGCTCATGAGCAAAAACCTTTTATAAGTTTCTCTTAAAAGCTGTGTCAAAAGAACTTCTCATTTAGGTTGCAATCTTAAAGGCTCAAAAGGGATGCTGGTGAACAGGTTTCCTTGTTTCCTTTTAGATGTAAAATAACTTTGATTTTAGTTATAGTGGGGGAAAGTGGAAGAAATTGAAATTTATTCTGTACTTAGTCTTATTACTGATAACCAAGGCCGTTTGGAACACTGCATTCAGTTTTGGTCACCACGATTTAAAAAAGATGCTGAGACTCTAGAAAGAGTACAGAGAAGAGCAACAAAGATGATTAGGGGACTGGAGGCTAAAACATATAAGGAAAAGCTGCTGGAATTGGATATGTCTAGTTTAATGAAGAGAAGGACGAGGGGAGACATGATAGCAGTGTTCCAATATCTCAGGGGCTGCCCCAAAGAACAGGGAGTCAAGCTGTTCTCCAAAGCGTCTGAAGGCAGGACAAGAAGCAACGGATGGAAACTAATCAAGGAGAGAAGCAACCTGGAACTAAGGAGAAACTTCCTGACAGTTAGAACAATTAACCAGTGAAACAACCTGCCTCCAGAAGCGGTGAATGCTCCAACACTGGAAGTCGTTAAGAAGAGACTGGACAGCCATTTGTCTGAAATGGTATAGGGTTTCCTGGCTGAGCAGGGGGTTGGACTAGATGACCTCCAAGGTCCCTTCCAACTTTATTATTATGGATCATCGCACAGTCAGCCAGATGTTCAGACTGGATTTGGCATTTTGTCTACCTATCGAGTCCTTACCCAGGACCTGGGATAGGCAGATGTGGATGTTTGATGGTATTACAGATATCGTCGCAGGATGGAAGCAGTTCCTAATAAGGCCGCCTTTTGCAATTGACTAATAGCGAATTTGTCAATGCCAATGGTGTTCAAGTGGTGCTCCAGTTGTTTTGGGATTGCACCCAAGGAGCCTATGACTATTGGTACTACCCTTGCTTGCTTTTGCCACAGTCTTTCTATTTCTATTTGTAGGTCTTTGTATTTTGTTATCTTCTCCAGTTCTTTCTCTTCTATTCTGCTGTCTCCAGGCACTGCCACGTCCACTATCCAGACTTTTTTGTCTTTCTTATCGACAATTGTTAAGTCTGGGGTGTTATGTTGCAGGTGCTTGTCTGTTTGAATTCTGAAGTCCCAGAGCAGTTTAATTTTATCATTTTCTATGACTTTCTATTATTATTATTTATTATTATTATTATTTACAAGGAACTGTTCTCAGCAGTGATAGTTTTAAAATAACCAATTATAGCATTACAGTGGGGGCTCCAGTGATAGGGAGATTCCAATAGATCGCCTCCTTTTTAATATTCATTCTAAGCTAAATATTGGCAGCAATTTAGTTTAACATGCTGATGGCTGTCTGGGGGACAATATAGAGTTTTAATTATCTGAAGCTATTCTGTCAACTACAGGAATTTTGTGTTCCTCAGCACTTTGTCTTTGAACCTTTACATCAGGGGTCTTCAAACTTGGCCCTTTTATGACTTGTGGACTTCAACTCCCAGAATTCCTCAGCCAGAGATTTTTAAGATTCCCTTCAGTTGGCATCTTGTCTCATGCACGGTTGTAGAAAGGTTTGATTGCTTTAGGACATTGCACAATTCAGTCCAAATGGGAGTTAATGAAATCTGGAAATACAATCACTCAAGTGCCTCACAGCTTCTCTGATCTTTGGCGCTGGAGAAGTCAATGTTTACAATTGTCACTGGCTTCAGAGCCAGAGTCTTTCCTCATTGAGGCAGGATGTCATGGGTTTTCATCGCCAAAAGGGACGGCTGAACCACTTTATAATAACAAATGATGTTGAAGGCTGAAACTTATTCTTGGCACTTGATATTAGAAACCTGAAAGCAATATTGGTCCCATATTTACATCTGTTTTCTAGAATTTTCTAATCTCAAAGTAAGAAAAGGGGGGGGGGAGATGAGGACATTTAAATCCAATTATCTTACAAAGTGGAAATATTTAAGCATGATAATGGCCTATATAATAACCTGGATGATTGTGCAATCAATTACTTTATGCGTCCTGTCACACAGGTGTCAAATCCATCAGACCAAGGCCTAAGTATATAGGACGGCAGTTTGACTTGGACATTAAAGTCTCTCCAAAACTCTATAAAATTGGGATAACATCTATTACATAACAACAATGAAATAAGCCTCATCAAAAGAACTCACACTCAAGCAATTTTAAAAGGACGGCACAGAGATTTTGCTCTTGCAATAGTGTAATGAAAATAAAAGAATCACTTAAATCAGGGGTCTTCAAACTTGGCCCTTTTATGACTTGTGGACTTCAACTCCCAGAATTCCTCAGCCAGGCACGCTGGCTAAGGAATTCTGGGAGTTGAAGTCCACAAGTCATAAAAGGGCCAAGTTTGAAGACCCCTGTTCTATGACATGTTTCAACCTCTGGTTTATTTGTCTGTATTCTGCCTTGTATTTGTTTATACTGTATATTGTCTTTAAAGTATTCTTTTTTTTTTAAAGAAAGAAGCAGACTGGTGTGATGAGGCAATCAGAAAAGTCAATTTGACTCCCATGGCTATGTGGTCGAAACCCTGCCCCCTTTTCATGCAATACACACAGAGAGGCACAGAAATAAACACACAAATGCAGTGGGCTTTGATTATATGAGTACGGCTACCATCTTAATTTTTTTCATCTTGGCCCCTGCGGTGCTACTTCCTGTAGGAAGGTAGAAAATAGATACATCAACCTGTCACGGTACAATATCCTATTGTGTCTCTGTCCAAGCAGTTTGAAATAAAGCACTAAAAATAGTTGATGTCTGATGTCATCATTTTATTTGTCCAGGCCTCTGATATACTGATTATTTAAAATCTTGGGTTGATGACATTTTCTGCAGCTTTTTAATATGTGGATTGGGCTTTATGTGTCAATGCTGCTAACATCAGATGTTTTTGCCTTGACAATATATGAAAATGCAGCCATTTTCTCTTTAACTTGTATGTTACTTTTAGAGTTAGAATTAGATGATGCTGGGGGGAGGGGAAGAATGTGTATGGGGATTAATTAGACGTAACAACATCGCAGTAGAGTATTCTTCAAGGTTGTTGGAAATAAGAGACGATAAGAAATGGCGGGTTACAAGAACTGGAGGGAAGGTCTGTATTTCAGACTAATTGGAGAATATGATTTATGACTGTTAATTGGAGGAGGGAATTGTGCTTTGATACTATGTGTTTAGGGGAGGGGAATTCAGATTTTGGCTTCGACCAGATATGTGCCATGCCATGCTACCTGAATAAAGATTCTTTAAGGTAAACAATGCCTTGAAGTTCTTTGAAGAGTATCATCTGTCGGAACCATGACATCATGTTTTTAAGTTATTAACTGGTTCTGGAAATATTGAACCATCAGCAAGATGGATGGATGGATGGATGAATGGAGAGAGAGAGAGAGACTCTAAGAGAATCTAACTCTAAAATTAGAGTTAAAGTTTGTCTAAGAGTTGTAATGCCACATCTTGTTTTAAAGCAATTTGATGTTAAGAAAAGATAACAGCAGGTGTCAATGTTCTATTGTTGAAAGGGAAAGTGGGAAGAGACCAAAGAACGCCTGCATAAATTGGGTTACTATTGCAACCTCATTCCTATTTGTCACACTTAAGATACCAGAATGAATTTAGCACTGGGAATTGTAGTATAAGATCCAACTCTGCTGTCTTTTAACGGGAATTATAATTTAGAACCCCAAAAAGGGAGTGTTAACAGGGATATTAAGGAATTTGAGTCTTTCATGCTTCCTGTTGATAGAGGGCATCGTTTATCAGGGATGTCAAAGTGCCGGCCCGTGGGTCAGACGTGTCACGTGGAAGCTGCGCCCACCCCATTGCCAGCAATGGCAAAACAGTCCCAATACGTCGCGCGACGTCACGTGACGTCGTGAGTTTGACATGTCTGCTTTAGATGCTATAAAAATGGGGGGGGGAAACTGAACCCTCCAACATCCCTCTCTTGATTATCATTAAACTTAAATTAAGATTTAGGGTTATAGTTCTGTTCACCTTCTGCCAGATTGCAGGAATTTCTAAAGCCACTATGAAGTCTTCCCTTCCTATTTGGTTCCATGTGAAGGAAAAGCAGGTTAGCGTCTTACTTTTAAAATCATTAACATGGATTGTGATTTGTTGGAAGGCACAGAGCCCTGCAGGATACACACACACATACAGAACAATTTGCTATGATTTTTCCTTTTCTCCAATTCTGCTTTCTCCTCATTCAGAAATGGGCAGTGCTTCCTCAAAGTATATAGACAACGGCAAATCTAAAAGGCGTTCTTTTGGACAATGCTGTCCAGAGGTGATACTAAGGGACATTAATATATAATAATAATAATAGTAGTAAAGTTGGAAGGGACCTTGGAGGTCATCTAGTCCAACCCCCTGCTCGGGCAGGAAACCCTACACCATTTCGGACAAATGGCTGTCCAGTCTCTTCTTAAAAACTTCCAGTGTTGGAGCATTTACTGCTTCTGGAGGCAAGCTGTTCCACTGATTAATTGTTCTCACTGTCAGGAAGTTTCTCCTTAGTTCTAGGTTGCTTCTGTCCTTGATTAGTTTCCACCCGTTGCTTCTTGTCCTGCCTTCAGTTGCTTTGGAAAAGAGCTTAATTCCCTCTTCTTTATGGCAGCCCCTGAGATATTGGAATACTGCTATCATGTCCCCCCTTGTCCTTCTCTTCGTTAGACTAGACATACCCAATTCTACCAACCGTTCCTTATATGTTTTAGCCTCCAGTCCCCTAATCATCTTTGTTGCTCTTCTCTGTACTCTATAAATAAGGAGGGGGAGGGGGAGGGGAGGAGGAGGGCAGGCCTCACCTTGTCAACAAGGAAGGGTAGAGGGCTACCATGGCAATCCCAGCCAGTTTCCTGTAAAATATCCGGGGTCTGTCGCCTGGTTTGCCTGGAAATGCTGAAGTGAACCTGCCTCTTGCTAGCCTGCATATTGAGATACAGAGAGAAGCCCCCCTAGTTAACTGGTTGCATAACCGAATTTTCAGTTTACACATTCACAAAATGGCGGTGCCCATTTTAAACCGATTTAAGAAAAAATGCTGTCTGGATATATAAATATAAAGTTTATATTCAGAAAACAAATATAAAGTTATGGCAACGATAAAAACACGGTGGATTTTCCCCTTTTCTCTGCAAACACGGCAGTTTGCGGTCTTTGCCTCAAGCAAACGTTAATCCCGTTTCCCAGATCTGTCCTGAGGAAGCTCTTTCAGACCTACCTGTATCAACTGAGCTGCGGTTTCTGGACTTCCGTGCTGTAAGTCATGCCCGTTAATGGCTAAAACCCTATCGTTCTCTTGAAGTTCCCTGTCATGGGCAGCAAGGCCTCCTTCCAGCAGGTTGAACACGAAGACGCCATCTTCGTTGGCCTTACGGATCAACTTGATGCCCAGCTGTTGGTCTGGGCTGCTTTTGTTCAGAATAACGTGCAAATTCTCATCCCTGTGGCAAGGAACATCAGGGAAAAGTCCAGAATTCCCACAATGGTACCTTTGCTCTCTGAGCACCGTGAGACGGAGAACTTGACAAGGTTGTCTCAGGACGAGCAAGGCATAGCTGTGAGGCACACTTCTGATATCTATGCCATTGACCTGGAAGACAGAACTGTAGGTCAGCCATATCTAAAATGAGGCTAAATTACATCCAACCATGTTGAATACTTAGATCAGGGGTCTTCAAACTTGGCCCTTTTATGACTTGTGGACTTCAACTCCCAGAATTCCTCAGCCAGGCACACGTGCCTGGCTGAGGAATTCTGGGAGTTGAAGTCCACAAGTCATAAAAGGGCCAAGTTTGAAGACCCCTGACTTAGATGATTTCTTATTGCAGTGACAGCTTCCATCACAGATCAGGTCTGCCTCATACAAGGCACCTTCTCTTAAACACCCATCCCTCACAACTTTCTTCCTGTCTTGCTGATTACGATGGCTATTCTTTATTTTATTTGTTTACTCGTCAATGGAAAATTACAAACTCGAAGGAGAAAAATTAAAAAGGGACAGGGATAGGCACCTTAGTGCCTTATGCATGCTTCTTTAGGGACCTCTTAAATATGGGGTGAGGTCCACAGAGGTTAAGTTAGAATTAAAACTGTGAAAGTTACCGACTGAAACAAGTCAATCAGGTAATATATTCCAGACTTTGACAACTCAGCTCCTCGCTTATCCTACTCTGCCAGTCTGCAGGAAGACTGTTTTCTGTCCAATTTCTTCTTTAGAATCTATATCTATCCATATGTAATCACTCAATGTTACTTGGATTACAGTGGGAACTGCTTACCAGTCTTCTAAATTTAAATAAAAGGCACTCTGAGTTCTTCTCTTGGTTTCCAGACAGGACTCCTTTCTCACATTTCTTCTGATTTATATAAAAAGTCATTTCCATTTTCAACGTTATCACTTCCTTTTCTGGATTTTCCATCAATTGTATTTGCTGGTCAAGTTGAGTTCTCTGCCTTAATATTTGGTTGTCCTGCTTCTTATGTTATCTTCTGCATTGTTGGTTCTTTGGTTGTGTCAAAATTTGGCTCTGTGCATCTAAGCCGGCATCTTGATCTTTTATTTTAGGTCTTATTTTATCACAAGCTAAGAGAACGGTTTCATGTATTGCTTTCAACATAGAAAAAATCTTTTTCCAGACAGGACTTCTAATTAAACTGATACTTGAGTGAGTGGGAGTTACCTTGCAGAAGGTCTTGGGTTTAAATGTTCGGGAAGTCACGTACTGTTGAAATGGCTCCCAATCCAAACATTTCATACCCATGATTTGTTTAAGCTGTTTTCGTATATTTTGCTAGGATATTTCCCCCTACCTCTGAGTGTACTTCCAACCCTATTAAGAAAAATAAATAAAAGATCTAGCGATACAGTTTCACGGTATAGCAATTAACTCTCTGAGAAGGTTCAGTCAAAAGATAATTTTCTCCCAACAACTACAGTTATTCTACTCGGCAATAAAACAAAACAAAACAAAAAAGATGTAAAGAAGTTTCAGCAATAATGTTGGAGATAGAGGTAGATGGAGTATTTCTAAGTCCCCTAATCCAGACATGTCAAACACAAGGCCCGGGGGCCGGATGCAGCCCGCGATGTGCTTTCATGTGGTCCGCGAAGCCATCCTGGAAACAGTGAGGGAATGGCCCCCGCTGCCTTGGCCCCGGCCCAGGCTGGCCAGGAGCCAATGTACAATTTTGTGGTGGCCCTCTATGCTGAAACGCATTCAGTCGTAGCTCCACAAGGCCATCTGGAACTAACGAGGAACCAGCCCCTGCCGCATCAGTCCCTGCCCTGGATGCATGCTGGGGAGGTGTCACCCTTTATGAGGAATGAAGAAATGCACCATCGCCTGGAAGTGGCCAGCAAATGGCCCTTGCCTACTTCACATATTCGGCTTGATGGGTTCCGTGGGAGGGGTTTCGGCAGGGTCTTCCAGTGGACCATGCCTTGGCGCTTGCCCTGGTCCCACCCCCTTCTGCCAGAGACCCTCAGAACTGTCGCACTCCTGCCAGGCCCCCACAGGCACCCTTGACGCGAACGATGTAGAGCTGGCCATGCCCACCCAGTAGGCCACACCCACTCCAGCCATGCCCACCCAGTACGCCACGCCCACCCCGACCACACCTACCCGGCCCCCCGAGGACAACCACGATGCTGATGCGGCCCTCAATGAAATTGAGTTTGACACTCCTGCCCTAATCCTAAAGAAATGTGTTCATGCTGCAGTGCCAGAGAATGGGTTTGTTCTTCTGTACAGGTAGTCCTTGACTTACAGCCACAATTGAATCCAAAATTTCTGCTGTGAGACATTTCTTAATTGAGTTTTACCCCATTTTACGACTTTCCCTGACACAATGGTTAAGTGAATCATTGCGGTTGATAAGTCAGTAACCTGGTGGTTAAGTGAATCTGGTTTCCCCCATTGACTTTGCTTGTCAGAAGATTGCAAAAGGGGATCAGGTGACCTTGGGGCACAACAATGGTCATAAGGATGAACCCGTTGCCAAGCGTCTGAATTTTGATCACATGATCGTGGCGATGCTGCAAAAGTCGTAACTATTCTGAACCGTATAGCTCTATGTAACCTCGTATAGCTCTATGTAACCCTAACTAGAGAGTATGGATCAGTATGTTAGAATATCTGGCAGTTAATGGGTCAGTGGGAGGAGTCTCTAAAGGGCATTGGGAGACTTCCTGGACACAATCCAGATGGGAATGTCTTTGTCTGAAAGAAGCATGGGCCATCAGATGTCACCCGATGAGCCTGCGCCGTTATAAAGATGGTATGGAAGAGAGCATCATTCTTTTACCTATGGGAATGGACAAGAGATGTATTTTCCAGAAGTAACAACCACAGCATGAATGCAAGTAATCGTTCTGATTGAAATATATTTTTTGTTATGAAATCATTTCTATTGAGTTATCTATCTGACTTGATTTAAAAGAAGGCATTTTTAACTCAGAGTCAGAATAGGAACGGTGGAAAAGTGGTCATAAGTTACTTTTTTCAGAGCTGTTGTAACTTGGAACAGTCCGTTAATGACCTGTTGTAAGTCAAGGATTACCTGTATACTGCCTCGATGATTTTTGAAACAGGAATTGCTTATTGTTACTCCTGCCTCGGTTCCCTCCAGATTGGATTACTGCAAAGTGGTCTACATTAGTGGTCCCCAACCTTTGTGTGCTTGTTTTCCAAGCCAGATGTTCTATCCCAGCCTATAGCCGACCTTGTTAACGGCACAAGGACCAAACCCCTGTTGATAAAATAGGCTGGAGACTTTAAAACAAAACAAACCCCTTTTAATATGGGTGACAAACTTGCCAAATAGTCCAAAACACAAACAGCAAAACTCAATCCAAATGAAGGAAATAGTCCACAGGAAACACGATGCAAACAGAAGAGTAGTCACAAGCAAGACGAACAGACCAGGATCCAAAGAAGTACTTTGCAAACGGTTGCCTTCAGCAACCAGCACTGCCCACACCTCCTCTTTTTATACAACAGTCCCAAGGCGTTGCCTCTCAGTGCCTTCTCCTTTTACCCTGGAGTTACCATATTGACTGCTGCTGATTTACTCTCACTAATTGACAACATGTGCGTGCATCAATTAGCATGTCCATCAGGTGTGAGTCCTCCGAGTCTGACTCATTCTCCTCACACAGCTGAGCTTCATCAGGAACATGACTGGAAGGCCCAGGCTCTGCATCAAACCGTGAGTCTTGTAATTCATCAGAGCCTCTCTCTGCCCCCAATGGCCCTTCAAATGCCTCCTCCACCTCCTCCTCAGATTCCTCATACTCAGCTGTTGGGAGCACAGTCTGGCACGGAATCACAACACCAGACCTCAGACTAGAAGCCCTTCTTGAAAGCTGGGCCTACAATTCTTCCAGCCTCTTTATTCCCCGCCCGCTTCCTTGAACCTTTACCTTCAGGATCATATCTCCTGGCAGTAGCCTTCCATCTTTGAAAATGATGCCGTCTCGATAGATGTGTTGGATGATTATGTGAATCAAAGGCGTTTCGCTGCCACCCACTACTCTGATGGCCAGGCCTTCGTGGGGATGGCGGCGGTTGATCTTAATACTGGTAACTTCCCCATCTGGAATGAGATGATATAGCCTTGGAAAGGCTGAAACAAATGCAGAAAAGGGTTGGGTTTGAAATGAATGCCTTTTGTTCTTTTGTTCTTTTTGTTTTAAACGCAAGAACACAAAACATGACGCTCTTCCACAGTTGTTTAGAGTTAGATCTCAAGAGATCTGGTACTTACTAAAAGGTGCACAGGTCAACGTATGACCACAATTGAGCCTAAAATTTCTGTTCCAAGCGAGAGTTTGCTCCATTTAACGACCTGTCTTGCCGCAATTGCTAAGTGACTCCTTGTAGTTATTAAGTTAGTAAGTTAAGGAGTTCTTAAGCGAATCTGCCCATTGGCTTTGCTTTTCAGAAGGGCACAAAGGGGATCACACGACACACTGCAACCATCATAAATGTGAGTCAGTTTGCCGAGTTTCTGAATTTTGATCATGTGACCATGGGGATGCGGTCATAAGTGTGAAAAACGGTTGTAAGTCACTTTTTTCAGTGCTGTTGTAACTCCAAACAGTCACTAAATGAATGGCTGTAAGCCAGTGGTTCTCAACCTGTGGGTCGGGACCCCATTTGGGGTCGAACGACCATTTCACGGGGGTCGCCAAACAACGCAGTCCGCCATTTTTTTCCCCCTTTTCCTTAGCTGTGCTTCTCCCTTTTATTCTATTGGCTTTTGAAAGCCAATAGAAGAGACTCTCTTGAATAGAGTCTAATTCAGTGGTTCTCAACCTTTCTAATGCCGCGACCCCATAATACAGTTCCCCACTTCTCTCCACGGAACCAGTCCCTGGTGCTATACAATAAACACATCATACATTACATAAAATAAATAATTCTCCCTAGTTTTCACTACTCAGGGTAGGAAAAGCATTAGTAGTGCATCTGATGAAAATGGAGATCGTGGTGGGAGCTTCAAGAAGTTGCATGTATGATTCAGCTCTTACACGAATAACGCTTTTCATGATCAAACTCAAAACCACTCATTAATTTCAGTGCAGCCATTCTGACATTTGGCTATGAAACGACGCTATCGTGACCAACAAGGGTTTGCTAATCAGTGCCAGAATCAGTCTTAAGCCCAAGATTCTATTCATAGAATCTGGTAGACGAGAAGGACGAGGGGGGACATGATAGCAGTGTTCCAATATCTCAGGGGCTGCCACAAAGAAGAGGGAGTCAAGCTATTTTCCTGAAGGCAGGACAAGGAGCAACGGATGGAAGCTAACCAAAGAGAGAAGCAACCTAGAACTAAGGAGAAACTTCCGGACAGTTAGAACAATTAACCAGTGGAACAACCTGCCTCCAGAAGCGGTGAATGCTCCAACACTGGAAGTTTTTAAGAAGAGACTGGACAGCCATTTGTCCGAAATGGTACAGGGTTTCCTGCCTGAGCAGGGGGTTGGACTAGATGACCTCCAAGGTCCCTTCCAACTTTATCATCATTATCATTATCATTACTGCTTTTTCCAGCAAAGGAAAGATCCTCCTGGCTGTTGCAAATTTTCCATCGCCTCCTTAAACTTCCACTGTTTATGTGGGGATAAATTGCAAATGCCACCTTAGATAGAGGTAAGTTTTTCTCCTTTGCTGTTTCTAATCTTACTTGATACTTTTTCTGCAAATGTTCATTTTTTTTTCAGGAGGGATATGAGATGGCTGAGTCTGTCAACAATGCCAAGAAAATGCCAGGGTTTTTACAAACACGATTCGGAAAAAATTACTTCTGATTCACACAAACACAGCCTCTCTATGCACTTGTTTATTCTGTTTGCATCCCACCCTTATTGTTTTTTACAAATAACTGAAGGTGGTGAACATATCCAACGCACCTTCCGTCTCCTATTTTCTCCATAACGACAACCCTGTGAGGTGGGTTAGGCTGAGAGAGAGAGAGAGAGAGAGGGAGGGAGGGAGGGAGGGAGGGAGGGAGGGAGGGAGGGAGAGAGAGAGAGAGAGAGAGAGAGAGAGAGAGAGAGAGAGAGAGACTGGCCTAAAGTCACTCAGCCAACTTGCATGGCTAAGGCAAGATTTGAACTCACAATCTCCTGCTTTCTAGTCTGGTGCCTTTATCATTAAACCAAACTGGCTGACCTAGTCATGAAATTCATCAGAGTAGCAGAATTTTTTTTTTCAGATGTAGTTTTGAATTTTCTTTTTTTTCCTTAATTATATTTCGCAAATCTTTTGAAATACAAATCTTTTGAAATCTACCAGCACCTTGAAAAATTCCAAGTAATAATTTACTTAGATTTTTGTATCCCCCACCATCTCTTCAAATCCTTACTTGAAGACAGATTACTACAAAATCAGAAGAGTGGGTTTGCCATCTTGCTTATAGATCAGGATTAACCTTGCTTTTTTCTGATTTTTCTTGAACCTGAGGTATTATGAAGGGTGGGCAATGAGGGAAAAAAAATAGCCAAAGTGTAAAATATGCCCTCACATATGAGATTGTACTAAATTAACCATGGCATTGACATTTTCCATCATACATTTATTGCTGCAAGAAAATTTTATTACTATGTTTGCCTAAAGCAGGGGTAGGCAACCTTGGTTCTTTTATGACTCATGGACTTCAACTCCCAGAATTCCTCAGCCAGCTATGCTGAGGAGAAAGGGAGAAGTCTCCATGCTGAGCCATGCTGGCCCAGGAATTCTGGGAGTTGAAGTCCACAAGTCATAAAAGAGCCAAGGTTGCCTACGCCTGATCTAGAATAAACCATCATGTTCTACTTTTGATTCTTTTTTTTTTCAATCATCCTTTTTGGTTCACACTCATTTACATATTCTTACCACCTGTTTAAAAAAAGAAAAGAAATTGTACAGCTCCAATGAAATAAATGCGATGTCTCTGTGATTCTAGAAGGCCATTTATAGAAAAAAATGGTGACAAAGAATTACTGCAGTGCTCATCCTCAAGTCATTCTTCTTTTCACTGGGATATTCTCAGTTTAGTCTGTCCTTCTTAGTGGATTTAGACCAGTGGTTCTCAACCTTCCTAATGCCGCGACCCCCAACCATGTGGTCGTAAGTTGAGGACTACCTGTATTTCCCTGTGGGCGGGGCAGGAGGAGGCGTGCACGCTCCATCTCCTCTCCTGCAGCTGGAGCGCACGCTGGGCAGGCCAAGGGTGCATGCAGGCCGTCGCCCAGCAACCGCCTCGGCCTGGGAGCACCGTGCATGCATGGTGCCGCCCCCTGCGCCGGCCGAGGCGTAGCTAGCAAGCAGCAGTGACGGCGCAGGCCGACCACTGGCTGGGCCACCAGCTGGCCCAGCCCAAGGGAGGTAAGCCACCCGCTGGGCCCCATGCGCGCCAGCAACCCTCTCTGCCCCCGCCGCTGCCCCGCTAGCCTTACCTTGGCCACCGCATGTTCGGTGCGGCGGCAGGCAGGCCCAGGCACTCCTGGGCGGCCATGGCACACGGCAGCGAGGGCGCAGGGCGACCACCGGCTGGGCCACCAGCTGGCCCAGCCCAAGGGAGGTAAGGCACCCCCCGGGCCCCACGCGCGCCAGCAACCCTCCCTGCGCCCGCCGGCCTCCCGCCTCCCACCTCCCACCCCTGGCCCTCTTTTACTTACATTTAGTAGTTGCTCAGCAGGGAGGGGTGGAAACGTCCAGACAGCTCGCCTTCGCTGCAGACAACTTGCAGCACCGTTTGCAGACTGGGACTTTTGGCGGGCTCAGCAAGGCAGAGACAGCCTGGACAATTCCTATTGGCTTTTGAAAGCCAATAGAATAGACTCTATTCAAGAGAGTCTATTCTATTGGCTTTTGAAAGCCAATAGATTCTATTGGCTTTCGAACGCCAGTAGAATAGAGACTCTTGAATAGAGTCTATTCTATTGGCTTTCAAAAGCCAATAGAATAAGAGGGAGTAGCACAGCTAAGAAAAAGGGGGGAAAAATGGCGGACTGCATTGTTTGGCGACCCCGTTAAATGGTCGTTCGACCCCAAATGGGATCGCGACCCACAGGTTGAGAACCGCTGATTTAGACTATCTTCCCCAGGAAATTATCAGTGATTTGTGGGTTTGAAATATTCATCACCTAATTACTATCCGAAAGATCTCATGGTGGTTACAGTCCATAACAAGGCAGGGCATCCTACTTCAAAATGGTCTTTTGGGAAGGATTGATGGCATGCACCTTCTTCCTCAAAAATGAACAGCATAACTGCTTATATTTTGTGCTTGTTTGAAGCCATGGAGAACCTCTACCGCCATTGTCTTGTTCATGTCTTCATTTTGAAAAGCGCAAAAATGAATCAGGGGAATAGGAAGAAGAATGGATCAGTTTGATCCAGAGTAATTTTTTTTTAAGAGAAAAGTGCTGAGATTAACATTTTCACTCTCGTTCCCTCCTCAAAACTTTAAAGCAGGGGGTCTTCAAACTTGGCCGTTTTATGATTTGAGGACTTCAACTCCCAGAATTCCTCAGCCAGCGTGCCTGGGAAGTTGAAGTCCATGATGATGATGATGATGATGATGATGTTGGAAGGGACCTTGTAGGTCATCTTGTCCACCCCCTGCTCAGGCAGGAAACCTTATACCATTTCAGACAAATTGTACCCATCTTTGTTGCTCTTCTCTGCACTCTTTCTAGAGTCTCAGCATCTTTTTAACATCGTGGTGACCAAAACTGGATGCAGTATTCCAAGTGTGGCCTTACCAAGCCATTATAAAGTGGTATTAACACTTCACTGGATCTTGATTCTATCCCTCTGTTAATGCAACCTAATACTGTGTTGGCATTTTTGGCAGCTGCAGCACACGGCTGGCTTATATCTAAATGATTGTCCATTAGGACTCCGAGATCCCTTTCACAGTTACTACTATTGAGCAAGGTACCCCCTATACTGTACCTGTGCATTTGGTTTTTCTTGCCTAAACGTAGAACTTTACTTTTTTCACCATTGAAAAAGTATGTCTACTTTGCTTGTTTCCAATTGCGCTCAATATGAATAGATGGCAACTGAACAGGACTACCTTTATAAATAAACAATAGTCTTCAGTGTAGCTGGTTTGACATGGGGACTTGGCTTAGAAATTTTGGACTGCTTTGTTTCTTGGTAGTTTCGCCTTTCTACCTAGACCTCGGATAAAAAGGATGAATCTGGATTTTTACTCTTGGCATACATGCATAGTGTATAGTGTCAGATAACGTATGCCTACACATAAATTGGAACAAGGTCAACAGCTACCAAAAGGAAAATTAAATTAATACTTGCAGTTAAACATTTGAACTGCAGCTGACCTCCGTGAAAACATGAAATAGGAAATATAATTTTAGAAACAGCCTACTCCTGAACCTTGACAAGATTAAATGAATACCAACCATAATGGATGCAGATGACTCCAGAAAGTAGATGATAACAGCTGACAGCCAAAAGGCATTTGGACCTTACTGAAGTATTATTCTCTTTAAAGTCTAGCTCAACAGGAGTTCTCTCTGTAAAACCATCAATTGTGCATAGCTATAATGGGGCTCAGTTTTGATCTGCCATTGATTCTTCAGAGCAGATGGGCAACATGTATCATTCACTTGAAGAGCTGAACGTTCAAACTGTGTGGATCCTTTGAATCACTTTGTGGTCCAGCTAGTTCGCCCAATTTCTTAGCATATGTGCAAGTTGCCCATAAACTCAGTATTAGTTCTGATAGACCTTGGGCTGTAAATCAAGACCACACATCCTGCTTTGCACACATGCAACTAAAGATTGAGTGTGGGCATAAATTCACTAAATGTTCAGTGCGCATAGGAAAATTATTTCTGAAATTTTTCAGTGAATTGTTTTACTTTTATTTTGTAAAATTCCTATTGATTACAAAATTGCTTTGAAGAAATTAAAACTAAGCGAGGAACTTAGCATTTAATTTTCAAAGAAAGGCCATAATAAGGTGGAAAGCCTTAGTTGATTTTGGATGATCAAAAAGATGGAACATAGAATATAGAATAATGGAGCTGGAAGGGACCTTGGAGATCTTCTAGTCCAGCCCCCTGCCCAGGGCAGGAGATCCTAGACCATTCCAGACTTTCTTTGGGCTTGATGTGATGGATACATGTAATCATAGAAAGAATAACAGAACAGAATAATAGAGTTGGAACAAATCTGGAGGTCCTCCAGTACAAATCCTTCCCCCCCCCCAACCAGGAGACCCTATATCAGTGGGTCGGGACCCCATTTGGGGTCGAATGAACATTTCACGGGGGTCGCCAAACAACGCAGTCCACCATTTTTTCCCCCTTTTCCTTAGCTGTGCTACTCCCTCTTATTCTATTGGCTTTTGAAAGCCAATAGAATAGACTCTATTCAAGAGACCCTGTTCTATTGGCATTCGAAAGCCAACAGAATCTATTGGCTTTTGAAAGCCAATAGAATAGACTCTCTTGAATAGAGTCTAATTCTATTGGCTTTCAAAAGCCAATAGGAATTGTCCAGGCTGTCTCTGCCCTACTGAGCCCACCAAAAGTCCCAGTCTACAAACGGTGCTGCAAGTTGTCTGCAGCTAAGGCGAGCTTTCTGGACGTTTCCACCCCTCCCTGCTGAGCAACTACTAAATGTAAGTAAAAGAGGGCCAGGGGTGGGAGGTGGGAGGCCGGCGGGTGCAGGGAGGGTTGCTGGCGCACATGAGGCCCGGGGGGTGCCTTACCTCCCTTGGGCTGGGCCAGTTGGTGGCCCAGCCGGTGGTCGGCCTGCACCGTTGCTGCCGCTTACCAGCTACGCCTGGGCCGGCGCAGGGGGCGGCACCATGCATGCGTGGCGCTCCCGGGCCGAGGCGGTTGCTGGGCAACGGCCTGCGTGCACCCTCGGCCTGCCCAGCGTGCGCTCCAGCCACAGGAGAGGCAGAGCGTGTGTGCCTCCTCCTGCCCCGCCCGCAGGGAAATACAGGTAGTCCTCGACTTACGACCACATGGTTGGGGGTCGCGGCATTAGGAAGGTTGAGAACCACTGTTCTATATCATTTCAAACAAATGGTTGTCCAGTCTCTTCTTAAAAGCTTCCAATGACGGTTTCCAGGCTAGCACGGGAAGTAAAAGAAATAGTGGAAGGGAAGAGCAACAACGTCTGTACCACTGTGCAGAAAATTATCTAGCTGGATCCAATATGTCTTCAGCCATTAAGCTTCATTCATGGGGGACGTTATTAATTTACTAAAAAAGAAATCACACAGTACTATCTAAATAAATAAATTGGAAAAAAAATGATTACCTGCCTGTGAAGCAATCAGATTTTCAACATTTTCTCGTTCCCGTTCAACATGGTTAGCCACAGCACTGCCACTTTTTGTCCTCCGAAGCACATTGAGAGCTCTGTTTATCTTTTTAAAAGACCTGCTTCGTACAGTAGAACGCTCAAACTGTGAAGCTGTGGCTGAAGAGGAAAACAGAATATTTAGGCTTGGGCTGAATACCAGAAAAATCTTACTTATTCTAAAGGCTGCTAAATGAAGATAACCTAGAGGTAAGAAAACCTTAAACCTTATTCCATCATTGCACAAGAGCCTTAGTATATGTTAGCCAGTGGAAAGTCAGTGTAACATAGTCGCTTCGTATTAGAAATTCTGTTTTTATAAAGCACCACACAAAGCAAACAAAGAGTACAATCACCATGTGCTTTACAGCTCAACTATTTTACTATAAATAGGAAACAGGAAACTCTACTTAAAACAAAAGAGCATAGAGTATATATACCATAGATCCGGACTTGTAAATACTGCCATCTACTGGCTAAATACTACTGTTGCATAAAAATGCATTCCAACAATGAATTCCAACACTTGAGTATTAGACTTGGATCAAAAAGTAGGTTCAAGTTCACACTTGTTCAGTGGGTGTTGCCAAGCCACACCTGTCTTTTAGGCTATTGTATCTCTCTCTCTCTTAATAGTCATACAAATGAAGGAGAATGCTATGTAAAACTGCATGGAGGAAACTGAATGGATGAATGAATAAATGAATGAATGGATGAATGAATGAATTCCACACTAATTTCCAAAAGTAATGTCTTGCAATGACATAGTAGAATGTTATTTTGACCATCGTCAATAATAGAAGGATGGGAATATATGCTACAGTCAAAGTCACCAAATGTATATTTAAAATATATCAAATTAAGAAAAGGTCCTTGGAAAGAAAGTTATAATACTTCCAAGTGCATTAGAATTGCCCCTTATCCTTCATAACAATTCCACAAATTTCAACACAATTCTTTGAATAATATATATATGAGTATTATGGATGTTCAAGAATTCTGCTTAGTCTGCATTTCAAAGTGGAACTGATCAGATGTGCAGCTCAAGAAAGTGAGAATACAGATCTGGTTTGCATTTTGTACTTCTCCAAATTTTGGAAGGCAGTTGTTAGCTCAGAGAAATAACAACATTCAAATAAAAAATGAACTTCAACTGTTAGTGGCATTTGGAATGAACTTTCAATTTGTCCATGTATATGCAACAAATCAACTGGAAGAGGGTGTGACCTCTTAGAATATGGTTTTGAAGACCCATAGGGACTATTATCAAAAGGAGAGGCTGCCAAGTGATTTATCTATTTCTTATATTGTTATATTTAAATCCCACCATGTCTTCAAAAGTTCATAGGGGTTTTTCCTTCATTTTATTCTCCAAACAGCCTTGGAAAATGATTAGGGCTAAGAGAAAGTGTAACCAACCCAAAATCACTCAGTGAATTCCCTCAGAGAAGGGAATTGAATCTGAGTTTTCCCTGTCCAACATTTCTTAAGTGAGTTTTGCCTCGTTTTATGAACCTTTCTTGCCACAGTTGTTAAATGAATCACTGCCGTTGTTAAGTTAGTAACATGGTTGTTAAGTGAACCTGGCTTTCCCACTGGCTTTGCTTGTCAGATGGTCACAAAAGGGGATCGCATGATCCCAGGATACTGCGACCGTCATAAAAATGAGTCACTTGCCAAGTGTCTGAATTTTGATCACAATGATCATGGGGATGCTGCAACGGTTGTAAGTGTGAAAAATGGTCATAAGACATTTTCAGGGCCGTTGTAACTTTGAACGGTCACTAAATGAATGTAAGTCAAGGACTACCTGTTAAGGCACCAGACTAGAAACCAGGAAACTGAGTTCTAGTCCCATCTTAGGCATGAAGCCAGCTGAGTTTATCTGGGCCAGTTACTCCCTCTCAGCTCTAGGAAGTAGGTAGAGACCTGGGGTAGGCAACCTTGGCTCTTTTATGACTCATGGACTTCAACTCCCAGAATTCCTGAGCCAGCATGACTCAGCTTGGAAACCTCTCCCTTTCCCCTCAGCTGGGATGGGTGCAAAGGCCACCCTAAGTCAGTGCAGTCACCTGATGTTGTGTTTTAAGACCATCCCAATCGCCAGTGTGAAGGGAGGATTGTCTATACAGTCCTTGGCTCTTTTATGACTCGTGGACTTCAACTCCCAGAATTCCTGAGCCAGCCACGCTGAGGGGAAAGGGAGAGGTTTCCAAGCATGACTCAGCTTGGCTGGCTCATGAATTCTGGGAGTTGAAGTCCTCGAGTCATAAAAGAGCCAAGGTTGCCTACCTCTGGCCTAGGCCTAGGCCGCTTTATGACTCGTGGACTTCAACTCCCAGAATTCCTGAGCCAGCATGACTCAGCTTGGAAACCTCTCCCTTTCCCCTCAGCATGGCTGGCTCAGGAATTCTGGGAGTTGAAGTCCAAGAGTCATAAAAGAGCCAAGGATTGTATAGACAATCCTCCCTTCACACTGGCGATTGGGATGGTCTTAAAACACAACATCAGGTGACTGCATTGACTTAGGGTGGCTGTTGCAGCCATCCCAGTTGCTGTCCTTAGATGAATCCTACAGTCGCCGTGCCCTGTTGTCACGTAACTGCCATTTGTGACTTCTTGCTGCCTTCCCCAACAAGCAATTGACTTAGTTTGTCGGAAGCTGTCAGGGAAGGGTGCAGATAGTAGTCATGTGACCACAAGATACCACAACCCATTGTAATTGTGAGCCAGTTGCCCAGTACTTGGATCGTGATTACTTGACCGTGGTTAAGCTGTGATGGCCACAACTAAGAAGGAACAATTGTTAAGTCAGTGCCACTGTGATTCTGAATGATCATGGAATGACTGGTCATTCAGCAAGGATCTCTGTAAACGCTAACCATTTCTGACAATTTTGCCAAGAAAAAGATCTCCGAGATCCTTTCCAATTCTCTTATTCTCTTCTCTATATAAGGGTTCGCTTCAGAAAGTTGCTAGGAATCAGAATTGACTCAAAAGCACACACAAACGCCGCTACCCTTTTCCTGGATCCTGCTTCATATATAAAATAATATAATGTATTTATAGACTTAAACCTTCTCAACCTAATTAAATCAGAAGTCATTTTCATTACATGGATATAAGTATTTGATCCCGAATCATTTTTCTTCATGCAATAATTACTTTCTTCTCCTGGTTTTTTTTTTTAGTTTTAAATTTGTTTCTTTATTTTGGCTTACAGCTGCATTTTGCACATTTATAATGTACCGTGTTGCATATAAATGGTGCAAAATGTTTCCTGGCCTACCGATTTAAGCAAAATGTATCCAAGATGCTTCCCCGCTGGGGCTCTTACTTCTAGATTGCTGGCTTATATAAAGACGGGTGGGATTGGTTCCTGGTGAGTTGTCCTCAAAGTTGGCATTGAAGGCAGGGTTAATTAGCCCTGGTTCATCTGTCATTAAGGCAATTGTGGCGGCAGCAGAGAACTCAGATCCAAGGGCAGATACTGTTAAAGCAGCATTCAAATCAGCAGATCCAGCTGGCGAACTTCTCTTTCTCTCCTTGGTGAGTCCATAGTGAGAAGCACCTTTGCACCTAAGGAAAATTAAAGGCGACAGAACTTAAAACAAAACAAAAACTGCTCAGACGAATGGAGACAGGTAACTTCTTTCAGAAAGTCAAAATTTGGGGGAGGGGGGGGGAAGAAATGAGACTAAGCTAGTTTCCCATTTTTGGTTTCCTGCACCGTGCCCAAATGAAGAAGCAATGAGAAGTTTAGCGGATTACACATGTTCTGTTCCCTGCGTGGTTTTGCATTGAAGAGGCAGTAGTATTAAACAAGCACTTCTTTAGTGGAAATCAGAACAGGAACTAACAATGATGGCTCCGCCCCTATTTATACATTCAGCTTTGGGCGGCGTCAGCCAATGAATGCAACGTATTCTCCCGCTCAAATGCATACTAATCGGCCCTGTAGACAGCAAGTCTGGCTAACAGGCCCTGTGGTCTGCTAAACGGTTCCTGCACAGATCTCTGCAAACTGTTCCATAAGTTTTACTCAGTTACATTACAACACAGATCTACTTTTATCCAACTGTGAATACAAACGAAGTAGAGAGAGGTCACAGAGAGAGAATGTCCGAGGATAGAATTGCAAAACAAATATATGAAGGAAGAAAGAACGAATGGGTCAAGAAGAAAAAGAAGGGACTAAAAAAAGTTGAGCTTGAATGGAGTTGCCAAAATCTTGGAAAAAGGGAGAGGTGAGAAGTTTAAAGAACAAAAGGCAGCTTGTGAAGAAACAGTGCCTGAGTAGAGCGGAAGCAATGATCATTTGCAAGGGAGGGAAAATATGAAGAACAGTAAATGATGGTGTAAATAAAATTCTAGTCACATTTTTTTTTCTTTTTCTCTTATCTCCCTCCCTTCGTTTATTTTTCTTCCTTTTTTCACTCTTTTCTCTGTACTTTGAACAAGGGTTGATTCTGAAAGGGAGTTGTGTGATGGACAGGCAAGTCTGTTATTATAGCCAGCAAAGCTTGAGGTCATGACATCTTTTCCTAGGCTTTAGCTGGAGTGGAAGAACAGGGAAAGATCCATCCAGTAAGGAGGGATTACATGATTAATACACATCGAAAGACTCCTGCTAAAGAGATCCATTTGGGGAACACAGGCTCGTTTGTAGCTGTAGTTTCACTGGATCGGAAACAGCTAGCTTGGCAGGTGACTGATCCAAACAAAGGAGAGGGTTATAATCAGTGTTTTGTCTCTGGCTAATGAAAGAAGGGCAATGTGTGGTAAGAAGGCTTGATTGCGTCAGCTGATGTTTGAGGAAAGAATAAAGCCACTCATACTGGGGGTCGCCCAGTCCCCCACCATAACAAACAGGGACTGTCGTAGCAGCCGTGACTTCACCAGGAGCCTGACAGCTGCCTGTCAGATTTGGGATTCCCAGTGTTTTTCCAAAAGACTGTTCCACAAACAACTGGAAACAAAACCTGTTTGCTTTGCAGAACTAGAATGCAGTTTTAGTTTAGCTAACGTGACAGCCACATCTCAAAAAATGGCCTGTCTTTTATTTAAGCCAATGCAGCAGTTCAGAACAATTTTTCCTGATCGTAGTGCAGTCTACTTTTTAACGAGTCTCCAATGGGCTTGCTGTACTTTGTTGGTTATATTCACATAGGCCTCTAAGATCCATTAAATGTGAAACATAGAAGTCTGAAGTATTAGGATTTCCTCTGACTCTTCTGATAAACCTTAGCATTTATTTTGTTAGGACCTCAAAGAGATCAAAGAACACCTTATCTTAAGGTGACCAACTTTTTTACAATGAAAAGGAGGACACAAATAAATTGAAGAAAAAAAATATTGTAAAAACTGGCTCGGCCCAGGAAGGTCAACCGCCTGCCGTGCCCCACCCGCAGCTGCCCTGCCAGCACCGCTGCCCTGCCATGAAGAGCGGGCCCCGCGGCTCCCAAAGCACCAGCCGTGTCAGCTCCGGCCCTGGGGGGCAGCCTGCCATTAACACACCCCGCCTGCAGCTGCCTTGCCAGCATCACCGCCCACCCTGAGCAGCCCCGTGTAGAGAGGGCCCCGCTGCTCCCACAGCACGGTATCTTCGGAACTAACTAGGAGATGGTGTAGTTGAGTAGCAGGCAGGGGTGCCAAGTTCCTGCCAATTCGCCTTCGCTGCAGACAACTTGCATGTGCAAAGTTTGCCGGTTGGGTGTTTTGGCACGCTCAGCAGCAATTCCTATTGGCTTTCGAAAGCCAATAGCGGGAGTAGCACAGCTCATACAAAAGTTGAAAAAAAAAATCAAAAAAAGGTGCTGGAAGGCCGTTCTGAGTGTTCTATGAGGGAAAAAAAAGCCCTGCAGATTAGTCTTCAAATATCGAAAAGGAGGACATGAAGGAGGACACTTTTTGAGGGAGGACAGAACTTACAAAAGGAGGACCGTCCTCCCTAAAGGAGGACGGTTGGTCACCTTACTTATCTGATCTGGGATTCAGTTGTGTTTTCTCTGACATAAGCTCTTTAAGTCAGCTGGAGAAATTGAAGCAATGTTTCTCAACCTTGTCAACTTTAAGGTGGATGTCTAAAGGTTGAATCAGGCAACTGGACCAAACTTTGTTAATCTAATCCCGATTTTAAGGAGAAACCCCTGAAGTTGGTGTGGCAAGAGCTGGTACATTCCAACCATTTTCTGACTCTCTGCCTAACTAATTTTGCTCTGATGGATGAAGTAGCTTGGATGAGCAATGAAAAGTCTCAGATTAACCAAGTTTGGCGCAGTTGCCACCATTCAACCTTTAGACACCTTTGACCTGGATGATTGAGTCTTCACTGACATTTAAGATGGGTGGACTTCAACTCCCAGAATTCCTTAGCCCAGTGATGGCGAACATATGGCACGGGTGCCAGAGGTGGCACTCAGAGCCCTCTCTGTGGGCATGCGCACCATTGCTGGGTTTTATAAACCCTTTTTGCTTTAGGACTCTGCCACCGTGTACAGAAAAAAAAGGTTTAATCAATCAGTCAATTTCAACTTCTTGTGGGAAAAAAAAAGATCTTGCAAGGTTGGAATTGATTGATTGAACTTTTTAGTCCCACCGAGTCTGCCGTTACCACCGCAGCCACGCCCACCCAATGGGCCACACCCACCTGGCACCCGATGATGCATAAGTGGGTTTTGGGTTGCAGTTTGGGCACTCGGTCTCTAAAAGGTTCGCCATCACTGCCCTAGCCAGACTTAAACTTGCCAAGGTTTAGAAACAATGCTCTGGAGGTACATAGGTGTTAGAGGTTAGGAAGGCTAAGGGCTGTGTATTTGCGATGTTTCGGGAGCCAGATTTGATTCCTTTTCTCACTTGGTGAATTGTGAAATCTGAATTCATTAATATGCTCTGAGCAAAAACTCATTCGTGGACTACCAGGGTTTTTCTTTTTGTTTCAAATGTTATTAATGAATCAAAATATAATTTACCAAAATACAAAGAAAAATAATAATGGTAAAATAAGGACGGGAAAGGGGAAGAGAGGAAAGTGTAGGGTAGAGGGGATAAATTTTAAAAAAGCATTAACCTACAACTCCATTTGGTGCAGTAGAATAAGGTACCGTATTTTCCGGCGTATAAGACGACTTTCTAAACCATGAAAATCTTCTCAAAAGTCGGGGGTCGTCTTATACGCCCAGTTGTCTTATACGCCGGAAAATACGGTAATAACATAACACCTCCAATTTTTACCTTACATTATAATATATACTAGACAGGGGTAGGCCACCTTGGCTCTTTTATGACTTGTGGACTTCAACTCCCAGAATTCCTGAGCCAGCCATGCTGAGGGGACAGGGAGAGGTTTCCAAGCTGAGCCATGGTGGCTCAGGAATTCTGGGAGTTGAAGTCCATGAGTCATAAAAGAGCCAAGGTTGCCTAGACATTTCTATAACAACAAACCTATCTAATCAGCAAAACTGAAAATCAGTTCCATGTTTTTCCACCTCAAGCACAAGGTCGAAAAGCAGTTTCCGAGTAAAAGCAAAATTAATTGTGTTCTTTTCTTTAATCAAAGCAGCCCTCTCTGCTACCTCCATCAACTTTTGCAGCCATTCATCCATTGTGGGAATCACAATGCCTTTCCATTTTTGCGGATAAAGTAATCTTGCGGCCATCCACATATGACATAAACCAATAGGGTTTTTTGGTTGAAGATTTAGAGTCCCTGATAGGGCTTATTTCCTGTTTCATTTACAAGGCACGATGCCCTAGAAATTGTCCATCCTTCCTAAACATTCCAAAAATTCCAGTCTCAATACATTTAGAGAACACCAGTTTGAATAAGGCTTCTATTAAGTCTGCTACTCATATTATCTCCACAGTGTACATAAGATACTAAAGATAGAAAACTGACATGGATATGGGGTTCCTTATTTTCTTCATTAGGACACTAAACCAGGGGTAGGCAACCTTGGCTCTTTTATGACTCGTGGACTTCAACTCCCAGAATTCCTAAGCCAGCCAGCCGTGTTGGCTCAGGAATTCTGGGAGTTGAAGTCCAGGAGTCATAAAAGAGCCAAGGTTGCCTACCATTGCACTAAATTAAACCTTTACTCCAGCAGAACCTTGTTTAGGAAGAATGGTGCAAATAAGTGTTCTACATACTCATTTGCAACCTCTAAATATATATATAATTATGGCTCAGAAACTCCCAGTACATTATGCATTGAGTCTATAGAGTATGGCAATATTCTTTCTATCGTTATGGATTTCCATGTTACCTTTCAGAAGGTAACTTATTAGTTAAAGAACTGGTACATGAGATATATTTTTTTTGCAACAGATTGGAAAATAAAATGAAGACATATATACTAAGGTGTGGCTGCTTATGGCAATAACGTTTCCACAATTATGATGCAGAATAGGAAATGGGAGATATTAAAACGATTGTTCTTAAAATATAACAGCTTTCTTTCCAGGATAAATGGCCAGTATAATCTGATGGCTCTTAGTATCATGCATATTTGGACCTGAAATTGGGCTATTAGATAATCCCTGAGGTGGGGTGGGGACTAGAAAGCTAAATGATTTACTTT